TTTTATCAATTGGAATGATCAAGGAAATGGGTATTTTAGGTGATTAAATTTTCTCATTATCCAGAAACCCATATTTTAATTAAAAATCCTGTTATTCACAATGGGCCCTAGTCCTATTTTTTCCTTAATTAAAAAATAAATTTAACCTTTCTTTGGTTTCTCAGTTTGAAAAATGGCATCACCATATGCTATCAGAGAATATAAAAAAAGGTGTAGGAGACTAGGGTACTAACTCCAACGTGTGTTCTGCAAGGGTTTTTCCTTAAATAGAAAACATATCCTCCTTCCCTACTGGTTTTCTGTCTCATCAGATGAGAAAACAAAAAGCCCATTTCTACATTTGTACATTTTCTTGGATTCTGGTTCATTGAGGTTTAGTACATTGTGTGCCTTATGTATCAACCTTAAGATATGTACCTTATTTTAAAAACATAATGTAATATAATACCTCAGATTTAAAAAAAATCCTTTCGAAGGCTCCTTCAAAAGCCTAGAAGAAAAAAATGTCACTCACCCTTTACACTGCATTAATGTGCACCATCTAAGATGCAAATTGATTTTAATGCCATTTTCTTCCGTTTGGCAGTAATGGTTCATTTATTTTCTTCCTTTTATTATTTTCCTTACAGAAAATATGGTTATAAATTATTTATTAGGCTCATGTTCCCAATTTTGGAAGATACACTGATACCATAACATTGAGAAGTGCTTTTAATTCTTTTTTCATAATACGTTCTAGAAGGTTTAGATAGGTATTTGCAGTGTGGTTTGTGGTTTGTATTTGTAGTCTAGTAGAGCAATTTGTCCCTAATCCTTTTCTTCCATTCCTTGTCATTCCTTCTACCAGCAAGAGAAATTTTCTAGTACATTGCAAAACAATGAGAATTATATATAAAAATAGAAAGTACAACTTTCTACATTTATATACACTGTATATCAGTGAAAGTGCTTTCAGAGATGAGATCTCTTTTTGATCCTTCTGTCATGTAAGGATATCAGACCCTGGGACTCAGAGGTGGATGAATTGCCTGAAGTCACATAGCCAGAGAGGGAAAGAGCCAGACAGAATCAGAGGTCTGATTATCTGAGGTCTGATTGTCCGACTTCTGTTCTGACATGCCCTCCCTGGTAGCTCAGAAAGCTGCTTCAGTATAGAGAAGTATTTAAGAGCAACGATGGGTTCTTTTCAGCCAGACGTGGAATTGAATCTCAGTTCTAACTGTGTGACTTTTGGCAAGTTTACTCATCTAGAAGAGGAGGATAATAATACTTCCTTCTTCATAGGGTATTGATGAAGAGTAAATCAAAAGGTTTAGCAGAATGCCTGGCACATGGTAAGCACCCAATCCATGTTATTGTTATCTTTATTATCATACAGTTGATAACTCTTCCAATACTTTGTCTTACTCTCTGATCCAACTGCAGCTTTTTAGCTTTGCTTATTCCTTCAAAGCCTGTATCTCCAATCAGATGCCTTCATTTGGACCCTGAAAATCATTGTGTTCTTGACTTTCTGCTCTGTGTTTCTTCCATCTTTCATGAAGGTGAAGAGTTAGTCACAACACATTGTGTCTGGTCGTAAAGGAGCCCCATGGAGTCAGTAAGCAATCTGTTCATTCATTTCTTGCTGACCTCACTTTGCATGCCCTGCTGTAGCTATCCTAAACCCCTTCCTCCACCCAGAAGTCCCTGGACCCGCCTCTGTGTCCATCACTTTGAGTAGATGACCATGTACCCTAATTTATTCTTAAAGCACTGAGGACATAGGCCCTGAATTCCTTCATTATTCCCATATCTTCATCTGACTTCTCACCTTCTCTTGCTGTCTTAGAAAGAGTGACCTCGCTTATGTTCCAGGACTCTTGGGATTGCCTCTTTTTGCTCCTTTGGAATTCCTCATCCTCCTTCAAGACTCAGCTCCAGCATCGTCTCCAGGCTAGTTGGTCTCCCTTCCTCTGCATTCCCATAATTATCTGTTACCCCATGATCTTTACCAAGCAACTGTGAGCTTCCCAGGAAAGGGCACTACATCATTGTATACACCCAATAAATTTGAGTAGAAGAAAAGGAAGTCCTACAAATAAGCATATATGTCTTTCCCACAATTTAGGAATAAACTCCTCTTGACCCCGTCATTGCATATGCTTGTCCTTCCTTTGACAGACATTCCACGTCTTCACCATACATTCCTTAACAATTTAATATCCAACACCATTATTGAAACTAGTCTCTTGAAGGTCAACAAAGAGATTCCACATGTACCTGGAATAAGTACATGGAATAAGAAGTCCTTCTTCTTGAGACTCTCACTTGGCTTCTGTGACACAGTGCAAGATTGGCTGTCTCGATGCCTCACTGAGCTCAACCTTCTTTGACCCCTTCACTGATTTCTCCATTGTGGGTATTCCCTAAGATTCGGATCATTTGCCTTCTCTTCTTTCATCTAGTCATTCTCGGTTTTAACCGTCACCTCTATGCAGATGACATACTAAGTTTATTTAAAGTCCTATTTACTCTGCCAATCAAATTCTGAATTTTTACTCCTTCTAGAGCAGCAATGGCAGGTACCTGACACTCGTGCTTCCACGTGCCACTGTCTAACCCAAGACAGACATTGTTTCACCCAGGTCGGATCATGGTGCTTTCCCAGTAAGGGCAGGTTTCTTAGAATCCTTCTCATTTTCCACCTCTATTCCTTGGCGCAAATGCTCTGTCTGATCAGAATTTTCATTTTTCACTTATTCCAGGTACCTACTCCCTGGTGAATGATGTAAAACCTACTAGTCATCCCCATAGTAGAACATGCACTCATTTCCCACAGCACATCAAACTCAACATGTTTAAAACCAACTTATCATATTCTGTTATCATCAGCCTAACATCCAACTGCTATCTACCCTAGTTTTATAACTTGTCCCACTTTTTCCAGATGACTGTTAATCATCTTTGCCTTCTTTTTTGTACTCTACCCATTAAGGTATCAAATCTTATTTGTTCAAATATGTCTCTCGTTCATCCCTTCTCATCTATTCTTGGGGCCTTATCTTTGTTCTGGCCTTTATTACCTCATTACGGGATATAATAATGGCCTGTCACCTGGTCTTCCCAATGCCAGGTTCTCTCTGCTCTAAGCCACCTTGCCTCCAGATCAATCTTCTAGAGTAAAATCTTGGTTATATCACTCTCCAGCTCAAAACCCTGCCCTGATTAGCTGGGCATGGTGGTGCATGCCTGTAGTCCCAGCTACTTGGGAGGCTGAGGCAGGAGGATTGCTTGAGCCCAGGAGTTTGAGGTTGCTGTGAGCTAGGCTGATGCCACGGCACTCTAGCCTGGGCAACAGAGTGAGACTCTGTCTCAAAAAAAAAAACCAAAAAACTCTCCCCTGACTCTTTATTACCTATGAAATATAGTTCCTAATTCTTAGAAACTTAGTAGAGTAAAATTATCTTTGAGTTTTGATTCAAAAAGATTTGGATTCAAGTAATGGCTACTACGCTTAACTATCATGTGACTTTGAACTTATTGCTTAACTTTTATTCACTCTTTATTCAATATATATTTGTTTAACACCAACTGTGTTTCAGGCACTGTACCAGGTATTTGGGATAGAGTAATGAGCCAAACAGACCTTGCCTTTTTTCTCCTGGGCCTCACAACATAGTGACCTTGTCCCTATTTCTCATAATCATAATAATCCTAAGTACAGGCTGTGTCTTTCTCCTTTGATGGTTGTAGCTTTTGGTTTGCACTGTGCAGGGTACTGTGATGCCACATGCAGTATCATAGTTACCGGCACATGTGTGGCATTACTTACACACGGCAGCTTCACGGAAGGGCGGAGCCATGCCCCATTGCCCATAGTGCAAGCACAGAGCGCTGCACACACTAGGTGCTGAGTGAATTCTCTTGTGGTTTTTGTAGACCTAGGGTTAGTCTTTGGCACAGTTCTAATGCCTAATGTATTTATAGGCTCTCTTTGTCCTGTCGGAAGTATGCTTTTTACTAAAAGCAAGTAATAGCTTTAGTTTCTATCCATTCTAAGGCCTCTCCTTTCTAACCCACTACCTGGCCTGTAGTTATTATAAGTAGAACTCGCAATGTTCATAACTTGTGTATCTTAAGTTTTCAAAACCTGAATAACAAATCCACTCATGCTTCCTAGTAGAAATACTGTCCATGTGCATACAATGGAATGTTAAAATAATGTTCTTTCTACTAAATAGCTTTTTGACTTGGTAATGAACAATATGTTGTTTTCCCTGAGAAGTAGTTCTATGACTTTAGTTATGAAGATTATATTTTATTTTATACATTTTCAGCCTGCTGTTTTTATGTTCCCAGTGATCTTACGTTAAGCATTTGTCTGTCTGAAACAATAGGTTAACTATAGCCAAATTATAACCATACCTTTCCTCTGCACACAAAATCCTATAAACAGCATGTGATCATATTGCTTCTAGAATTTATGATTGTTTTCTTCCAAAAGGAAGCTAAATTTAGCCTAGTAATTCTTCATGCTCCCAAGGAAACAATGCCTGCTGTGATTTCTAGAATAAATGAATCTGAACCACAGTTCCTCCACTTGACTAACTGAGAAAGTTTAAATATCAGCGTAGTCACTAACCACAGATATTAAACCACATCAAACAACCAGCAAGGGGTTAAGAAAGAAATTTGCTGTATTTCCTATTTCATCGCTGAATGAGTCTAAATCAGTCGCTGTGTCGACCTTAATGCAGAACATTGTTTGCATCTCATAATGATTCTCTAAAATTACTCGTTCATGGCTTGAGTTCTAAAATTAAACTATGTGGAGTCATGTCCAACTGCACAATGCATCTTTATGTGAAACTCGCTAGAGTTTTTTGTTTTCATTCTATGTAAAAATTCCAGTTAGGAGTCTTTATTTTCTAATAACTTTGACTGGTGAGTTCTTTCAGTTTTTCTTGTCTGTTTCTAACGACAACTGAACTGCTCTCGCCTTGAACGTGTTTTGGCAGATAAACCTCTCACAATGAAGGCCTCGGCTGTGCTTGCACCTGGCATTCTTGCGCTCCTGTTTACCTTGGTGCAGGGGAGCGACGGGGAGTGTCACGAGGCGCTGGCGAAGTCCGAGATGAATGTGAACATGAAGTATCAGCTTCCCAACTTCACCGCGGAAACACCCATCCAGAATGTCGTCCTACATGACCATCACATTTACCTCGGGGCCACTAACTACATTTATGTTTTAAATGACAGAGACCTTCAGAAGGTTGCTGAGTACAAGACTGGGCCCGTGCTGGAACACCCGGATTGTTTCCCGTGTCAGAACTGCAGCGACATTGCCAACTTCTCAGGTGGCATTTGGAAAGATAACATCAACAGGGCTCTGCTTGTCGACACGTACTACGACGACCAGCTCATTAGCTGTGGCAGCGTCAACAGAGGGGCCTGCCAGCGGCACGTCCTTCCCCCCGATAACCCTGCTGACATACGGTCAGAGGTTCATTGCATGTTCTCCCCCCAGGCAGACGAAGAGCCCGGCCAGTGTCCCGACTGCGTGGTGAGCGCCCTAGGAGCTAAAGTCCTCCTGTCTGTGAAGGACCGGTTCATCAACTTCTTTGTGGGCAATACCCTAAATTCTTCTTATTTTCCAGATCATCCATTGCATTCGATATCAGTGAGAAGGCTTAAGGAAACGCAAGATGGTTTTAAGTTTTTGACAGACCAGTCCTATATTGATGTTTTACCTGAGTTCCGAGATTCTTACCCCATTAAGTACGTCCATGCCTTTGAAAGCAACCATTTTATTTACTTTTTGACGGTCCAAAGGGAAACTCTCGACGCTCAGACTTTTCACACCAGAATAATCAGGTTCTGTTCCGTGGACTCTGGGTTGCATTCCTACATGGAAATGCCTCTGGAGTGCATCCTCACCGAGAAGAGAAGAAAGAGATCCACAAGAGAGGAAGTGTTTAATATCCTTCAGGCTGCATATGTCAGTAAGCCTGGGGCCCAGCTTGCTAAGCAAATAGGAGCCAGTTTGAATGATGACATTCTCTTCGGGGTGTTCGCACAAAGCAAGCCGGATTCTGCTGAGCCGATGAATCGATCGGCCGTCTGTGCCTTCCCCATCAAGTATGTCAATGACTTCTTCAACAAGATTGTCAACAAAAACAACGTCAGATGTCTCCAGCATTTTTATGGACCCCATCACGAGCACTGTTTTAATAGGGTAAGTCACATAGGTTCCTCCCTTACAAATTAGGAGGTATAAATCAGAATAAGTATCAGTCTAGAAAAGAATACCACGGGCTTTTTTATGCTTGATAAATGGTTTTAATCCAAAATATTTGCAGATTCTGTCCAAGAAAATTTGGAAATGGAATCTTCGTGTACAACTAAAATCCTTAAAAGCTTAATGTGGTAACTAAAACAAAAAAAATATTTTTACGATTTGGATTTGCATGCTTGCAACACTTCAGGTTATTAAAGTTATTTCTCATACAAGCTTTAGTAGTTCAGATCAGATATATATAGATTTTAATACAACAGCAAATCTTATAAAAAACAATAATTGAGATATATATAGTCTTTGCAACATTTAGGAGACGCTCAAGTTAATTTGTAGGTTTTAAAGAATTTTCCTTGTGAAACCCTGTTCTTTCACTGATACATGAATGATTAATGTATATTGTTGACACTACACAAAGAGACTTAACTAAGAAAAACTTTTCTGAAATGTTGGTAAATAAAACATTTTTAAATGAGCTAATATGCTTCTCTAAATAACCTGGAAAAGTAGAAAGGAAATGTTTGCTCCCAAATCCTTCCTTTGGATCTTGACTTTAATCATGGACTTCCTTCTTGCACAGACATGTGTCTACCAAGTTCTAGTTTGATATTTTACCTGGTTGATATTTGATGTTTATAAACATAAATATTTTTGATTGATGATTGTTTGTACTTATATGAAATGATATTTTCATAGGAGGTGCTAGGGATATCTTGGTGTTTTGATTTAAATATAGTAAAAGCTGTCAGCTATACTGATAGAGGATGTGTCCTGCTACTCATTTGATCACCTGGTGCCAGAGGAAGAGCACCAAACTGAGAGTTTATTGGACCCAGATTTGGACATACAGACCTGGCTAGGATCATAATTGAATGAAAAAATAGTATAGCTTTTCTAAAGACAGTTTGACTTTGCAAAGGTATGTCTTGCTTATGTTAGCAATTTTCTATCTAAGAAATAAAGGTTATAATTGCAAGCAGGAAGAACATTAAATATGTCCTTGATAAGAGAAAGTATGTAATTTTCTGAGGAGTACCAAGAGCATATGAATTCAGAAACGTTTGGTTGACTTTTGCTGAAACTTCTTGGAGACTTCCCGAGATGGAAACTGTAGTTAACTTTTTCATGAAGCTAGGAAAATACCTCCACGAAAGTCATTTCATCTTTTAGTGAGCTAAAGACAAACTTCCCTCGTCTCCCCTCCAAAGTCTATCAATGTACATCACATCCATGCACATGTATCCCAACCAAGACTAATTTCCCCCTGCATGCATTTAACATACGTTGCAAACTCTGTACGCAGTAATGGAATTCCTCGGGAGGCTGCCCCTTTTCTTCACTAGAAAATACAGAAGAATCAAAGGAAACAAAACAACTTTCAGAAACCTGGATTTAGAAATAAGAGTAATACTAATAGCATTACAGGGAAAATACTTTTCCTGCATCCAATAAGTTGCTTCAGAAACACAAGTTTAAAAGGGATCTATTAGGAGTTCCTCCAGGGCTTCTAGAGCACATGACTTTGCTATTTAAATCTTGTTCTGTTAAAAATTAAAAAGACACTTTATGAAGGTATATTGATGCTTCATCTCATTTTTAAATTTTATTCATTTCAGTCCCCACCTACCCCCATGTAAAACTACTTCTCAATTCTAGAAATTCTGAAAACACATTTGAACTTTATCCTACCCCTTTGACTCTTTTTAGTGTTCCAAGGGAAACAAAGAGGCGGGATTATCCAGTGAAATTCAGGTCAGTTTTATCGCCCAGGAAAAATGCCCAAAATGCCCTAGCCACACCTGAAACCATTATCACTCCCATCACAAAAATTCTTGTGGGAAACAAGGTGGAACTTGCCAAAATAGCCTTCTTACAAGGGAAGCCAACTTTCGCACCGGCCAAATTCCATAAAGACAAATACTTTCAAATCTCCCCTATTTATTTGCCTGTTTATCTTCTCTGGTTACTAAAGATCAAAATTCTTTGGAGACTGAGACTACACACATTATCTGTTTTCATATACCCAGTCCGCAGAAAGACCTCAGATGGTTCCAGTAATCAGCATATAATCATTTTCCCTCTTAATCTTATTTTTAAATTATTTTTTATGTGAGCATATTACAGGGAAACAAATGTTTAGGTTACACATAATGCCTTTGCCCCTACCTGAGTTAGAGATTCAAGCGCATCCATGCCCCAGAAGGTGTGCACCGCACCCATTAGGTGCGTATATGCCCATGCCCCTCGCCCCTCTCCCATCTGCCTGACTTAAAATGAAGGCACCTAGAGCCATTCATCACACAAAAAATGATTTACAAGATCAAACCTGTTTAGAAAGACTCTAAGCAATGACTCCGTTTTGGCTTGGCAAATTTACTTGGCAAGAAATCAGATGACCCTACTAATAATTTCTTGGAACTGAGTTTTTAGTTTGGCATAAACTTTGGTGAATAGACAGATATATTATAGTTTTGTTTTTAACTTCGCTAATATGTTTGCAGAGGGACTCTGCATGTTCTGTGGACAAGGTTAACACATTGACTGCCATGTGAGTTGTATATTTAACTCACGCTAGTTTTGAGCCCGGGGCCTCGTGAAGCATATGTAACTCACATCTCTTCACTTTGGAGGCTGTGAGAACTATTTTTCAGGTTGCCTATAACTAATGCACAGAAAACAATAAAAAAAATAACACATTTTTCATTAAATTAGAAAATATCATTTTGTTTTCAAATTTTCTATTTCATTTTCTTAATAAAACTCCATGGCCCCAAGGAATTGTGGCAGTCAATGTGTTAAGAAAGCTGCAGCAGTAACTTTCCATTTAGGCTTCTTCCCAATTATCATTGTACCAGCATTGCCACAAGAAGGGTTTTATGGCCTTCCTTGAGGTCCCTGCCATGTGCAAAAATTGTTTCTGTCACAGGAGTAGACAATGTAAGTGACAGGAAAGGACCTTTTACATCCTAGGGGTCCAGGAGGTGTATCAAGCCTGACTTGCTTATTTAAGATCACATATTGTGTTGCTTTTCCAATTCTCACATTTCGTGCATCTATGCAAACTCTTCATGTGCATATTCTCATACTGAAGACATCGTAAAAGTCCTCTTTTGAGCCATCTATCATTCTGAGAGTGCATCATCTTTACCTGTAAGTTACTTGTGCTTCAGAACATGATGCTGTTTCTGAAAACTTATCCCAAGCCACGGGTACCCATTCATGGAATACCTATGTTGTTGATTATATCAGTTGTTCTATAAGAATATATTCTTGATCTTCACAATATAACCATTTTTATGTTACTTTTGAAAGTGATTCTAAAAGGATTTGTTTACAGTGACTTCCAACACTGAGAACTATGAGATTATGCACCCACAAATAATTACTAAATCTTAAATACCTTTACTGCTTTCTGTACTCATTCATCAGTCAAACTCTATAAGCTTCCTAGATTAGTATTGATTGAAGTTATTTTAGGCTAATACATATTCCCTAAACACCACATTATTATTCAAAATAAAGTAATTGAGAAAGTGGCCCATAATATGGAGACTTTGTAAAGACCCAAATTTAGGGAGAAAAAAAACCCATCTTCTATTTGGAAATAAAGAGCATTAAAGACTCAGTTCATTTGCTTAAAATTAACTGGAATTTCTACCAGTCTCGTCTAAGGGGTTTATTAATGTGAAATTTTAGGAAAAAAACTAGAATCAGTACACATTGGCCCAATCTCCTACAAATAAGACTCAATATTGAATATGGGATTTTTTTTTTGAGACAGAGTCTCTGTTGCCCAGGCTAGAGTGCTGTGGCATTAGCCTAGCTCACAGCAACCTCAAACTCCTGGGCTTAGGCGATCCTCTTGCCTCAGCCTCCCGAGTAGCTGGGACTACAGGCATGCACCACCATGCCCAGCTAATTTTTTCTATATATTTTTAGTTGGCCAATTAATTTCTTTCTATTTTTAATAGAGATGGGGTCTCACTTTTGTTCAGGCTGGTTTTGAACTCCTGACCTTGAGCGCATGACATTTGGTGCCACACAAGCCTGTATGTAGTCCTGGTTCACTGCATACCGAACGTGTGACCTCTGCCACATTACTGAACTTCTTAGAGCCTAGGTCTCTTTTATAATGTGCAGTAACAATACCTACTTCACAGGGCTTTGTGAAAATTTGGCATAATGGGTATAAATTACCTGGCACAATAATATGACCATAAATTTTGCTCTTTGGGAGACAGTATGGCCTAATGGAAGGAGACTGAAGTCAGAGGTGTGGGTTCAAATTCCAACCCTGCCATTTTCTACCTGGATGGCCACGAGAGCATTATTTAAACTCTGAACCCATCATCCTCTGTGCAGCACTGTTGTATAAACAGAGGCAATAATGTCTGTAAAAGGTCCCAGCTTAGTCCTTGGGACAAATAACTAGCTATTATTGTGAGGAACACTTGTGTAAAGAAAGGCATATTCAAACGATTGGATTCTTTTCTGGCAGAGGCACATTCTGGTTCTATTGCTTATGAGGACCTTTCGCTTCCCTCCCTACCTGTTATAAGTGACTCACCTCCAAATTCTTAATTTGTGTAAGTCCTTCTTAAGATTTAATAGTCAACCCTCCCAAAAAAATAGGTGAGGAGTAGGGGTGGTTAGAGAGGGTGTGGGTACTGGGGGTGCAGAGAAAGACAATTGAATCAAAATTGTACTAGGGTCAAGTATAACTTCTCCCTTCCCTGACTTTCAATTCTAACTCACCATGACATTATAAGATTTTATGCTTGTGTACGTTAAGTCCTACTTTTATACATTCAAGAATTTGTAGATAATGCAGATTTAGAAAAAGTCAGCTTCATAGGTTGTTTGTACTAAGCTTCCTTGTTTTAAAATATTATTTATACTCCAATTCAAAGAGTAGCCAACTGCTTCCCAAAATAAAGGAA